ACTTAAATTTATCTGTCCAACGTTCAAGCCTTGTTTTCAGTCCATGATATTTTTCGAATAATTTTTTGATGTGTTAATATTGTTGTTAACTCTCGTCGAACGCATGGAGAGAATTAATTTTTTTTACACTGCTCGATAAACCCTCTCAGATTGTTTTTGATTACTTTCATTTTCGAATTAAATATCTGATGTGAACAACCACATGACTTCCTTGTCCAAACCTGTGAAGCAATACACATTTTTTGCAGCATTTATTTTTCATTCAATCAATTCAGTTTTCCCTTCACGTCAAGGCAAAAATACATAAAAACTCAAAATAATTTCATTAAAAATTGTAAAATACAGAAAACCATAAAAAAAAACAAATACGTTTAAAACATTTAAAAAATTTTTTAGAATTAAAATTAGAGTTCCTATTAAAAAACAAGCTATTCATCCAGCGGGCAGGAAGATAAAATTTTCGGTGCACGAAATTAAAAGTTACGTTTTGGTCCCACTCTGTAAAATGACACCGAAGTTGGTGCGCCATTAAACTTAATTAACTTGTCTATTAATAGTTTCAAATATAAACAAAATACAGCCTCTTTACACATAGCGCCACTTAAATTTTTAATTTATTGATAATTCTACAACTAATGTTATAAAAAAACAAATCATGCCTTTTATAGGGGACCGGAATGTAATGTCGTTTCTGCGCATGGCGACAACAACATGCTAATGGCAGAAGTGGAAGCAAATCTATGTCAAACACTTGGTCGACCATCCAAGAAAATTTAAAGCAGAATGGAAAAATAAGCAAAGCAGGTGTTTGTGTCCCCCATAATCTGTCCAAAAAGAACAAAGCCAACCTATCCATCACTTGCAACGTATTGCTTCAACGACACCATACAGAACCGTTTTTTGATCGTTTGATTAGTGGAAACAAAAAAATAAGTCCTATATGATAATCCAAACCTCAAAAGGCAGTTTTAATAGGGATTACAAAGGGTTTACATCCCAAAAAGACGCTTCTGTGTGTTTGGTGGAGTATTAGCGGAATTGTTCATTTTGAATGGCTGAAACCTGGACAAATTGTTAATGCAGACCTTTATTGTGAAGAATTGGATGGACTGAACAAATCTTTAATCAAAAAATATCAGTTGTCAACAGAAAAGGCATCATTCTGCAACACGACAATTCAAGACCGCACTGTGCAAAACGAACACTGTAAAAAATGAATGAATTGGGGTGGGAGGTACTGCCATACTCACCCACCATACTCGGCCGATATCGCAGCATTGGATTTCCATTTATTCGGATCCCTACATCATTTTCTTAGAGGCAAAAACTTTTAAATTTGGATAATGTCCAAAATGTCATCTCGAGATATTTTATCCAAAAACCAATTGATTTTTATCGGTCCGGGATTGAAAATCTGCACATTAGATGGCAAAGGGTTCTTGATAACGAGGGTTATTATATTATTGATTAAAAATAAACACTTGTTAAAAATGTATTCGTTTAAATTTAATGTAAGAAAGCGACATTACTTTCCGGTCCTCCTATTATATACACTGGTGTGCAAAAATTAAGGACGAAGTCGAAAAATTAGCATATCAGCTGAACGAAGAGGCAGAGCGGACAGGAAGACCAATCAGGAGATTAAGTAAGGTGATGTACTGTAGCACATGCGCAGATATGCAAGTAGACGTAATGGGGGAGTGTTTGAGTAGTATAAAGCATGTTGTCGGTGTAAGATCAGTATTTCTGCAAAGAGATTGCACGCCGTATAGCAGTTAAAATCACGCCGAGTTGCTGCCTCAGCGAGAAATGGCGAATAATCAATCTGTTAGACGACATCTGGATGCTTTTACCCGAGGTCGAATCATTGGGAAGTTGGAGGAAGGCCGCAGTGTGACAAGTGTGGCTGCAGAGTTCGGAATTGCTCACAGCATCGTTTCACAACTTTGGAGACAATTTCAAACTACAGGAACAGCTATCCGGGGGTTTAGTAGTGGTCGTCCACGAGGAACCACACCCGCAGATGACCGGTATATTGCCTTACAGGCCAGAAGAAACAGGCGGCAGGCAGCGGGAGAAATCGCTAGACACACGACACAGGCGACTGGACAACCGATATCGCTTTTTAACCATGGCCAGAAGACTGCATGGTGGTGGTCTGTTTGCGCTACGCCCTGTATGGTGTGTACCTCTAACGCCTGCCCATCGGAGAAGGCGTTCTCTGTGGTGCCGGGAACACCGGAATTGGAGAGAGACAATGAATGGGGACGAGTACTCTTTACAGATGAGAGCAGATTCAGTCTGAGTAGCGATTCTCATCGCATACTCATCTGAAGAGAGCGGGGAAGCCGCAATCATCCCTCGAACATCATTGAAAAGGACAGGTAGGGAGGTGGCGGTGTTCTCGTTTGGGTAGGCATCATGCTTGGTAGTCGTACAGACCTTCCCATCTTCGACGCAGGTTCAGTCAACGGGACCCGTTATTGTAACGAGATTCTTCTTCCATATGTGCGTCTTTTTAGAGGCGCTGTGGGTCCGCAGATCCTTTTCATGGACGACAATGCACCATGTCATCGCACAGTAGCTGCCGAACAGCTCTTAGAGAGTGAGGATATTGAACGTATGGATTGGCAGGCACGATTTCCGGATCTCAATCCCATCGAGCATGTATGGGATTTTCTAGGCAGACGCTTGGCAGCTCGTACCTTACCACCAGTAACGATTCCGGAGCTTCGATTGGCGCTGCAAGACGAATGGGCAGCAATGCCTCAAGAACTCATTGACACCCTCATTCTCAGCATGGGCAGACGCTGTGAAACCTGCCTAGCAGTCAGGGGAGATCATATCCCCTATTAAAGACCGGATGTTTCTTGCTGGACACCCATCACAGGGATGTTTCGGCCTTCAGTCGCATTGCGCTCCATGGTACTTTTTCAATAACTCTTCTTTTTATCCCTCTGATTTCTCTTTTAGTAAGTGTTGCTTACATTACTCATGTCCTTACGTATTGGAGATCTTACGGTATTAAATGTGTTGATTTGGGAAGCTTTTGTACAAAGTTATATTGAAAAAACCGTCTCGTCCTTAATTTTTGCACACCAGTGTAGGTTTCGCGCGGCCGATTGCAACGGAAAAGAGAATTACACAATTATAAGTTAGAGCAGTCTTATATACAAAATTTCAACGCTCTGTGGCGAATCATTTTCGAGTTATGCGAGATACATACATATATACGTACAGACGTCTCCAAAAAAATGTCTTCTGAAACCATTTAAAATTCATTTTACTATCCCTTTTGGTAAATATAGTGCATTATTTTGTCCGTACAAATGTGTCATGCAAAAAATCGTCTAAATGAGTCGACAGCTGTCAAAATGGTTATTTTCGTTGAAATATGAGACCCCGAAATTTTTTGCGTTTAAACTGCTGTGAAAAGTGGGAAACTAATGCTCTGTAAACGTAAACATAGATCAGCTGACTGCTTCGACGCACACATTTGTTTTCTTTTTTCTAATATAAGAAGATAAAAAGCTATGGAAACTGTGTACGCTTTCATGGATATCATAGGTTTATTTGTATACTTAGTATTAGTACTTGCTTCATATTTGACAGCGCAAGGTTTTGATTTATTTCAGCACTCTAGCCATTTATTCTGTGCATTAGAAACTGGAGTTGTAATAAGCCCTTGGGAAGAAAAGGACTTTGATATAAGTTCATCCATAAAATCTACGTTGTTAAATCTCTGATACTGCAGTTCTTGTGCAATGTAACTAGTTCAGCGGTAAAGTAATCTGGATCTCTAAACTTCTTTCCTTATCTTTTGCGAGTGGCTATTTTAAATGCCTCTGTAGACTTGTATTTTCTCCGTTTCTCCTAAGGTGCACTTCTTAGTTTTCTTCCGTTTAATGTATAATATTTTTTGGTGAATAAAAGGCATACAGTGTTCTTTATCCATGAGAGCCGCAGTTTAAAGATCAAATATTCTGTTGTAATATCGAGAGGCCCCACCTTTTTAGGCAAGTGTGGTAGTGACTGCTACTAAGTGTGAATTTACACAGATACGTAAGAAGGGTTTAAAGCCCATTTTATTCAACTTTTAAAATAACAGCTGCGTCCACTTGACGCAGCTGTTATTTTATGCTGTTATTTTATGTGATGTAGAAATGAAAAATAATGACTGGATGAATAAAATAGCGAGATCACTATCCACGAGGCTCTGCGATAACCGCGTTCTAACATTACCGCTGAGATTCAGCGACCGCAGAGATTTACTGATTAAGCAGTTGAAAGATCCAGCAAAATCTGCCGAGATAGGCACACAGGCCGACACACGCGGTTCTTAAATTCTACTTAGCAACATTTCCAAGTAATCTTGGACAGCAGGTTACAATCGTGGTAAAATTAATTCAGTTACCTCCGTGTCGGGTTTCTTTCCATATAGCATGTCTGTCAGTTTAACTTTTCGCAGAATAAAGTCCGTCAAATCTTCCATATTACGTTGATAAAAACTATAAAGTTCGGCTTCTAGCTTTGCTTGGTCTTTCACTATGCGGAAGGCCTTTAATAATGATGTTTTAAAATTTTCAAAGGTGTATGCTTGGCCACCGAATTATCCAAATAAAACTTTTCCCTATATGCTTCCACCATAGTGAGGCCTGTCCTCTTAGTGTACAACATGGTTTCAAATAACAATACCTGGAGTTCCATTTCGAATGGTTGAACGGATAGCCCGCTAGTCGTTCATACATCGGGAAAGTTTTTTTATTACCACCCTGTATAACAGATACCCGACAAATAAAGTGGGTAATCAATTGAATTAATCAAGAACGAAAGTTAGAGGTTCGAAGGCGATCAGATACCGCCCTAGTTCTGCGCATGTCAGCAACCATGTTGTTTGGCAGTTTTTGTGGTGTGTTTTAAAGTCTTCATTATTTTGTGCATATTGGTTTTGTGGTATTTAAAGCGCATTTTACTCATTTATCTTGTGTTCTGGTTTCTAGAAATGTGCCACTTGTATCAAGATAATGATTATTTTTGAAGAAATGAATGTTTGAGTATTCCATTAAACACGGAACGCCCCTTACGCATGCACGGGTAAGTTTATGATGATTACTTGCTAAATATACCTTGCAAATTTATTTTGATTGTTGATTTGTATTCAGTATTGTGATTTTTACTTATATATTTAAAAGCACGATTCCAACTTATATGATTTTTTTGTAATAAATGTTTAAAGTTTTAGAGTGAGCTAAGACTAACGAGGCCGACTTTTGTTTACACTTGAAGATCTAAGTAGTACTTGCATTAACTCATTTGGTGCATAATATGTTTGTCTTTCGGCCCGATGAAAGGAAGTTTTGATACATTTTGGTTCACCAAAATTGAAGTTTCCTTGCCCGTTGGTCAATTTGCTCAATTTTCATGCCAGAACTTTGGTTTTAATTTTAAAAATTAGTTTGGATTATTCTAAGGCCTTCTAACTTATTATTTATGGAAAGGATTGATTATTGAACTATTTATGGATTTTTGATTTATTTTAAAGATTGATGTTTTAGTGTTTTTAATTATCTCCCTTACAGCAGTTTTTATTGGATTTTATTTATTACATTTTACCTCACTAATTAAAGAAAATGAGAGAGACAAAGAAATGTCAGACATAGTTAAGGAAATGTATAGAATAATAGACGAACTTAAAACAAAACGGGTTTCTAAAGATTTGGTTACAGAACTTAACTTACAAGTTGATGCTATTATATAAAATGGGCTCATAAGATGTCTCTCAAGATTATGGAGATGGAAATGGTCAAGAGCAATGAGGAGACACTATTAGAATTTAAAGATGAGATAAAACAAATGATTGCAGATAAACTAGATGGTAAAAGAAATAAAGATAGTGATGAGGTCCTATTGAGTGGTAAAATTAAGGATGTGAAAAATTCAAAAAGCGCTAAAGCGAATGCATTGATTATGAAACCGGTTACCGATGATATTGATGTCTACGATGAGCTAAATACTCAAATCCAACCACACGAAATAGGTGTAAAGAGCTTTAGCTTTTACAGGAGAAAAACGGTGATATGGTTATCAATTTTAAAGATAGATCCGATGTTTCTAAAATTGAAAAAGACATTTTGGATAATGTACAATTTAAAACTTTGGTCCGTACACGTCGCAGTAAATTTATGAAGCCAAAAAGTATTATTTATAATGTTAGTGATTTGGTTGAAGAAAATTTAATAATTATTAAAATGTCATCAACATAACATATAATTTTAGCATTCAAAACATTAAAATCAGTTAGAAGTGGGTTCACTATTAGGGCCCAGAACAATGAAGCAGTACATGATCCCTGAGGCCATCCTATATAAATTTGTTGTTCAACTCTCTGAAATGCCTGTAAAAATAATTTGGTACTATTCCGTTTCGAGGGCCGTAAAAAATCGCCAAACTATTGTTGATGCCAATGCTGTCAAAAATAATTGCGGCAAGAAAGGAAGTATAATAGTAAATAACTATCTAAGATTGATGTTTTAATTTAGATGAATGGTTAATTTCATATAATACTTTTTATTATTATAATTTATATGAAAAAAGCTAAACATGACCGAATGGAAGCATAAGAACTATTTCAGGTTATTATTTATGTAAAAATTGCTAAACATAACTGAATGGATGCCTGCATCGCTGTTTCGCTACCGACTTATCGCTAAAGCATAATTTCATCTCGTTGGTTGTTCAAACGTAATTTTCTATAATGAATGATGCCTTTTCTTTGAAAATATTCAGAATCGGAATTCAAAAGTGCAGAATCGCTCACTTATTTGTTTGCCGCTTTTTTACAAGCGTAAAAACAATTGGATTTTTGTCAATTTTCTTTTATTTTTTTAAGTGAAAATAGGTCGATGTGTACATAGATAAAGCCAAGGGTGTGCGCAGTGCCCTTTTTATACAATTCTGGGATTTTTTTTTAAGTGAAAATAGGTCGATGTGCACATGGATACCGAGTATGTGCTATTCTTAAAAACGCGTCAAACAGTGGGTGATTCTGCACTTTACCCAAAATTCTATTGCCGACTTTTCGTCATGGGCAATTCCCAAATTGTTAAATCCATAGGATATTAAAAAAGGATTTTAAATCAAAAAAAGATTTAAAAATTAAACTAGTATTTCAATGGCGTCTTAAGAAATATAGAACTATATAAACTTACGCAATCTGAAATCAGCGCGTACGCTAGATTTGGCGCGCTGTTAAATGGGCGCGTTTGCTAGATTTGGCGCTTTTCACACATTTTCGCTACAATTTTTTACGGTCCTCAAAACGGAATAGTACCAATAAGTTTCCTATTCCTAAAATAATCTTTGATAACCATAATACTGAATTTTCCTATATTATTCAACACGGAAGACCATCTGACAGAGTCAAACGCAGTTTTGACGTCAAACGACACAACAGCGAGATGTTCCACTTTCTTCAAGTCCCGAGCTGTTGTAATCGCATTATATAAGGCAAGATCTGCCGACCTCCCCCTACTGAATCCATATTGGCAATCTGCAAGTAGGTTCTTATTATTAATTACATAGGAAAATCTTTTGACAATTAATTTATCAAAAATTATAGCAAATATCTTTAATATGCAAATAGGACGAAACCTACTTTCATCTTTTGATGATAAAACCAGTCTTCCGACCATCCATGTATCGGCAAAAACATGTAGCCGCAAACATTTATTATAGAGCATAATAAAGAATGAGGGGTACTTTATGAAAAGACACTTAACAAGTTTTGCACCAATTTCATCAAGGCCTGGGGCAGACCCATCTCTAAGCTTCACTATAACTTCATGTATCTCTTCATAAGTGAAAACCGGCTTTTTGTCACAGACTTGGGAAAGATTAATATCTTCAACAATATCTTCTCTATCAATAGTTTCAATATTGAGTGCATCTTTAATAATACGTCTATATTCCTCTTCTATATTTAACGCAATCCTGTTCTCATTATCTCGTATAATAGTAAGATTTTCTAATTTTACCTGTATCCACCTTGAAGAGACCCTCATAGTATTCCTCATTTTGAAGGAAAGTAGAATTATTAAGTCATTTTTAGCCTTCTTAACACACCTTTTATATGAGGCCAGGCATCTCTTATATTCGATCTTTCTTACGATTCTGATTTCTTCCACCAAGCCTTTAAACTGACAGCTTTTTCTTAAAGCACGGATCTTTCTTCTAAACCGATTTAAATCCTGATTCCACCATGGAGATCTTTTTCTCTACTTAATGGTGTTTGATTGGAAAAAATACAAGAAATTTTTGTAAAAGTTGAAAGAAAACTTATGGACTGGAGCGAAATCGAGAATATCCAATTTAATATTGAAAGGACATTCGGACTGTTTTTCCCTAGAGGTGAGGTTAAGACACATGCACCGAAATTGAAATTTAATGGGCATAATATCAAATTTCAAAATAGTATAAAATATCTTGGTGTCATCATAGATGAAAAACTGAATATTATTGAACATTTTAAATGTATACATAGAGATATTGAGAAAAATTTTACAGTTTTATAGATGCAATTTTAATGGTGACATTTTACATAAAAAAGCATGTATATTGAAAAAGATTTTTAACTGTGTAATATTGCGTAAGATTTTATATGGAATGGATGCTTGGGGCGCCATGTCAGGGAAAATGATTAGATTACGGAATAAACTGAATATGTGGCAGAGAGGTTGGATGCTGGCTGTTACAAGAGCCTTTCGTACCATCTCCACTAAAGTTGTCTTCGTACTGGCAGGGGCCCACCAGCGGCCGAGCGGTAAAGTCGCTGAACACTGGTAGTTCGGTTTGAGGTTCGAATCCCGCGAACGGGCTGGCTGCATGGGCGTTTTCGTGGTTTTCCCCATGTGTAACGTGTATACGAGCCAGTTTCCCTTAGAAAGTCCTCCACGAAGGCATCCCTCCCCTTAGGCAGATAGCCCTCGAGGCTTTTCCATAATTACACACACACGTACTGGCAGGCATTCCGCCTCTCTCGTTCTCTTATGAATTCTATTATCAAAAATTTTTATTGTCGAACAACCTCGTCAACGACATACAACTAGAAGGGATTAGCATTCAGAGTGATGCTTTTCAGTGTTTTGATGAAGAAAGTATACACACTAAAGATAAAATTTTCATTACATTTGATTGCAATTATTTGAAATACCAAGAAATAGATGTTTATACTGATGGCTCAGGACTCGAGGGTGGTGTAGGTTGTGCATTTGTGGCTTTCTTCTACGGAACTGATATTTTCAACAATAGGACTAAATTACATAATATGAACTCAGTTTACCAGGCAGAGACTTATGCTATATATGATGCCCTTAAATGGATAGAAAAGACGTTGAAAATTAAGTATAACATTAATTTTTACTCTAAAATTCCATTGGATAAAAGCACACTCAGGACAAAAGGGGAACGAGAGGGCGGATGCCTTAGCAAAATCTGTTGCTCTTGATGAGGAAGTTGTTACAAGCTATATTCCAGACTCTTAAGAGAAAGTCAATTTCTGCTTTACGTGCTAATAAAGAGAAATGGAGACTAGGCTGGGGATCGTACGAGAAAAATCAAGGTCTACTAAAGAATATTAAAATTGGAAAGAATATGGATATTTATAAAGATACTGATGTAAATTCAGTTAATGACCGGTCATGGCCTACCTTAACCCGGCCTACCTTAACCGGTTTGGGCTTCAAGAAAATGACTTATCTGTAACAAGAAGGGAGATGCATATCATTTCTTTGAAGACTGTTTACTTACTGGGAGCGCAAGGGGGAATTATAAGAAGAAAGATAACAGTGATTTTAAGGAAAATTATAAGAATATAATGTAACACAGTAAGACTATTATGAAGATTTTAAATACAAATAAACAGGCCTTGGGAATTTTTGTATGAGTGTTAGTATATGTGTTGTTCGATTGAATGTATTATGTGTTTTATGTGCCGTATTTTAATTTATGTTAATAACCTCATTATTTATTATTTTATTATGTTCGTTATTATGAGTGATATAGGTCTAGTGATAATATGAATTTCAATGTTCGTTTTT